TAATATACCTTCCTTAACCCAGTGAGCGAGAGAAGACCATCACTATCATTATCACCATCACTATCGTCACTATAACCATCATTACCATTACCATCTTTAGTACCATCACCATTAACATCACCATCACTACCATTAACACTACTACTACTACTACTATCATCACCAATACCACCACTGCCACTACTACTACCATTAATACTATCAACATCACCACAGTCACTACCACCCCCCACCACTACTACCACCCCCCCACCACTACTACCATCGCCCCCACCACTACCACCACCACAGTGCAGTAGGGAAGAAAAACATCACGAGGTTGTCTTGGTCAGGCTCGAGGCAGGGAGGCCGGTCTTTGTATGGGGCCACAAAGGCGTTGCGGGAGCGGTGGTGTGTCCAGTTTCCAGATCTGCCCGTGCCAAATCCTCCCCCAAGGCCAGGTGGAAGCTCAGCACACGCCGCCACGCTCACACTACACGCTCGGCCGGGTATCGTGGTCAAGTACGTACACACACACACACCTTGGGATAAGTCCACGCTTAAGTCTGAAACATGCACACACACATATGTCCACAACACCACATGTGCACACGACAGACGAGCCTACACGAGGGGGCACTACATGAAAATAAATGAAAACAAAGACGAGAAAAAATGATAACCCGATACAGGGAGCCAGCAGTGATCACTCACCCACACTCCTGCACACACGACTAAATTACACAGTCACACTCTTGAGCTTAACCAAAGTATACACAGATCTGTTTACGTCCATGGGTGACATATTCAGCCAGGGACCAAAGGCAGGAGCTTGGTAGTGGCGCACGTGCACATGCACACCCACACACACACGTTGTTACTCCCTGGTTTCTTCCTCAGAACTCAAGAGAAAAAAAAAGCACACAGCAAATAACATATTGCATAAACAGTCACGCTCTGTACGCACACCATCTTACGTACACAGTCCAACTTTGTGTCAACACCATATTGTGCACACACAGTCACGCTTCGTGCACACATGATCTTACGCACACATAGGGCCGGGCTCCCGCAGTGTACACAACAAGAAGGTGGGTGGGTAGATAGGCAAGTGGATGGGTGGGTGGGTGAGTGGATTGGTGGTGGGTAAATGGATTGGTAGGTGGGTAACTGTGTTGATAGGTGGGTATGGGTGGGTAGGTAGGTAAAAGTGTGTAAGTGTGTTGGTAGGTGGGTAAATGGGTTGGTAGGTGGGTAAATGGGTTACAGGGTGGTGGTTGGTGGGTGGGTGGGTGGGTGGCAATGTTCAGTATTTCAGCAGATCGATCACCCACTTGAGAGATACATATACAAGATCACTGTATCTTCTTGAGCCATTCACGTCATCGCCAGGAGTATATATATATATAAATAAAAGATCTATTTAATTAGTTTGATTCCTTGTGTGCTAAGACTTAGGCATAAGATAGTGTTTATAATTGTTCTCTCTCTCTCTCTCTCCTTAACTAATACAAGACGTGTGACCCAAACAAGCAGGATGTACATACAATTATTGTTTCTTGTGTGGGACTACTTTATGTTGAACTTCATCACACACACACACACACAAGGCGCACACACACACACACACACACCTGGAGGCGCACACACACACCTGGCACAGCGGCTCCACTGAACACAAGTATGCGAATACAATACACAAACCACACGGACCAAGCGAAGGCATTACTAGACCATGAGCTACATGGACACGATCCACGGATCTCCCCCCTACTCACGAGCACATGAGAGACCATGAAGTACAGGCCATGGAGAGAGAGAGAGAGAGAGAGAGAGAGAGAGAGAGAGAGAGAGCTGGTATATACACTCTCCCTCAGGGTGTCTTGTTAAGGGTGGACCAGAAATATGAACCACTGAAGCTGGACCCACTAATACTTACACCTGGCTCACCTTACACCTGGCTCACCTTACACCTGGCTCACCTTACACCTCATACACTACACTTAAGTCACCTTGATTTCAACACTGATTTTTCTTCAATATTAATTCCTGGAAGTTCGTCTGTAATAAAATGCCAAAGTGAAAGTCTAATGTTACTTGTATAAGGCTACAGACTTGTTTTCTGTCTGTCTGTGGTGGTGGTACTGGTAGTAGTGGTGGTGGTGGTGGTGGTGGTAGTAGTAATAATTGGTGGTACTGGTAATTAATTGGTTAATTGGTAGTGGTAGTAGTAGTAATGGTGGTGAGTACTGGTAGTAGGGTGATATTAGTAGTAGTAGTAATAATAGTGGTGGTACTGGTAGTGGTGGTGGTGGTGGTGGTAGTAATGGTGTGGTGAGCTGGTAGTGGTGGTGGTGGTGGTGGTGGTAGTAGTAATGGTGAGTGGTACTGGTGGTGGTGGTGGGTGGTGGTATGGTAGTAATGGTTGATTGGTGCTGGTGGTGTGGTTGTGGTGGTTGGTGGTAGTGGTGTGGTTGGTGTGGTGCTGGTGGTGGTGGTGGTGGTGGTGGTAGTGGTAATGGTGGGTGGTACTTGTGGTGGTGGTTGGTTGGTGGTGGTAGTATTGGTAGTAATGGTGGTTGGTGCTGGTGGTGGGGTGGTTGGTGGTGGTGGTGGTAGTGGTGGTAGAATGGTTGGTGGTGCTGGTGGTGGTTGGTTGGTGGTGGTGGTAGTGGTAGTAATGGTGGTGGTACTGGTGGTGGTGGTGGTGGTGGTGATGGTAGTAATGGTGTGATTGGTGCTGGTGGTGGTGGTTGATTGGTGGTGTAGTAGTGGTAGTGGTAATGGTTGGTGCTGGTGGTGGTGGTGGTGGTAGTAGTAGTAATGGTTGGTGGTGCTGGTGGTAGTGGTGGTGGTAAGTTGTTAGTGATTAGTAGTAATGGTGGTTGGTGGTGGTATTAGTGGTAGTAATGGTGGTGGTACTGGTGGTGGTGGTGGGTGAGTGGTGGTAGTAGTATAGTAATGGTGGTGGTACTGGTAGTGAGATTGGTGGTGGTGGTGGTATTAGTAGTAGTAATGGTGGTGGTACTGGTATGATGGTGGTGGTGGTGGTAGTAGTAGTGGTAATGATTGGTGGTACTGGTAGTAATGTTGATATGTGGTAGTAGTAGTAGTAATGGTGGTGGTACTGGTAGTAGTGGTGAGTGTTAGTAGTAATGGTGGTGGTACTGGTAGTAATTATTGGTGGTAGTAGTAATAATGGTGGTGGTACTGGTAGTAGAGGTGGTGGTGGTGAAGTAGTAGTAATGGTGGTGGTACTGGTAGTAGTGGTGATGGTGGTGGTAGTAGTAATGGTGGTGGTGCGTAGTGGTGATAGTGGTGGTACTGGTAGTAGTGGTGATGGTGGTGGTGGTAGTAGTAATGGTGGTGGTACTGGTAGTAGTGGTGGTGGTGGTGGTGGGTGGTGGTCATTGAAGAAAAATGAAGACTGATGAAAAGACGTAAATAAGAACAACAACAACGACAACAATAACAAGAATTTGTGTATGTATGTATGTATGTATGTATGTATGTGCTGGAGTATATGTGCTTGCATGTGTGCGTGTGCGTGCATGTGTGTGTGTGTATGTATGTGTGCGCCCGCGCGCTTGGTACTAATGCTTACGTGTTTTGTGTGTGTGTGTGTGTGCATACCTCTGCTTGCGTGTGTGTGTGTGTGTGTGTGTGTCCTGGAGTACTTGTGTGTGTGTGTGTGTGTGTGTGTGCCTGGAGTGTGTGTGTGTGTGTGTTGTGTGTGTGCCTGGAGTACTTGTCCTTGCATGTGTGTGTGTCCTGGAGTACTTGTGCTTGCATGTGTGTGTGTGTGTGTGTGTGTGGGGTACGGACAGCAGCATCCTGGGGTGAGTGAACTGCTACTCTCTGCTCACCACATGTTCCCCTCACCATATCACCCCAGTACAGTAGGGGTCACCTGAAGATTAGCCCCCTAAGCTATTCCACCTTACGATTAACCACTCTCACCTAATCTAACTTACTGCAAATCTATTCTAAGCTAAATTAACCAACCTAACACTAACTTACCTCACACTGAGCTACCCTAACACTAACCTAAGCTAATCTATCTTAATGCTAACCTAACCGAACTTAAGCTAATTTAACCTCATGTAACGAGGCTAACCTAACAAACCCTATCTTAACTTAACCTAATTAGCCAAACCTTACTAACCTAACCTAACCTTTGAACAACTTGACTCACGAGACTAATCTGACTATCTTACTCACGTCTTGGGACTGAGGCTAGTATCATTGTCTACCGCCACAGAAGACAAGGGTTCGAGCCTCAAGTCTGGAGCATCAACGTGGATAAACAAGTTAAGGAAAAGTCGTAAGGTCGTCCTCGACGTCTCAGATTCAAGGATGAGGTTGCTATTGATCTCAGGAAGGGAAAGAACGAATGGAAACGGGAAGGAAGAGGTGAGGAAGAAGGGAAAAGAACTAATGAAGAAGGGGGGAAATAAAAGGGGTGGGAGGTTAGCAAGCAGCAGGTAGGGAAGGATCAGCAGGTAGAAGAGGGTTAGCAGGTGGGAGAGTTGATGGAAAGGATGATTCAGCAGTGTTACTCATCACCTCATCTGTACTACTACTACTACTACTAGTAATAATAATAATAATAATAATAGTAGAAGTAGCAGAGAAAAGACAAAAATTAAAATAAAATAAGAGGAAAGTTTGAGAGAAAAATGTGAGAGACAGGTTAGAGTATAAATAAGAACAAATAAAATGAGAGAAATGGGGGAGAGATAAGAGAATGAAACACTTAAAGACGACCCCCACCAACAAGTAAAGACCTGTGTGGGTTGTCTCGTAAGACCTGTTTAGGAAGACCCCTAGAACAGAGGACCCTGAGAAGTACGACGCTGTGACCACTAAGACCATCTTCCTTTTTAATAGTAAGGAAGGTCCCTGTAGGGTAGGAGGGTCCCCCACATGTAAGCTCCCCCACTCTCTCTCTCTCTCTCTTTAAGGACAATGAAAGGAACACCAAAGACGTCCTGTTGGGAAGCCTAAAGATCTGTTTTGTAATGAGAAGATGGTCTCGTGAGGCAGCAGGACCCAGGCAAGCTGGGACCCAGGAGGCGGCAGGACCCAGGAGGCAGCAGGACCCAGGAGGCGGCAGGACCCAGGAGGCGGCAGGACCCAGGAGGCAGCAGGACCCAGGAGGCGGGACCCAGGAGGCAGCAGGACCCAGGAGGCAGCAGGACCCAGGAGGCAGCAGGACCCAGGGGCGAGCAGGACCCAGGAGGCCTTGGGACCCAGGAGGCAGCAGGACCTGGGAGGCAGCAGGCAGCGGGACCCAGGGAGCAACAGGACCCAGGAGGCAGCAGGACCTGGGAGGCAGCAGGCGGCAGGACCCAGGGGGCAACAGGACCCAGGAGGTGCAGGAACCAGGGGCAGCCAGGACCCAGGAGGCAGCAGGACCCAGGGAGGCAGCAGGCAGCAGGACCCAGGAGGCAGCAGGACCCAGGAGGCAGCAGGACCCAGGAGGCAGCAGGCAGCAGGGACCCAGGAGGCAACAGGACCCAGGGAGTGCAGGACCCGGGAGGCAGCAGGACCTGGGAGGCAGCAGGCAGCAGGACCCAGGAGGCAACAGGACCCAGGAGGTGCAGGAACCAGGAGCAACAGGACCCAGGAGGCAGCAGGGCCCAGAAGGTTCGGGGGCGCTTTAATGGCCCAGTTACCAGAGGATAAACAACATCAGGAAGACCCTGGGGTGCCTAAAGTTCAGGTGGTCCCTGAGGTGCGCCTAAGTTCAGGTGGTCCCTGGGGTGCCTAAAGTTCAGGTGGTCCCTGGGGTGCCTAAAGTTCAGGTGGTCCTGGGTGCCTAAAGTTCAGGTGGTCCTGGGGTGCCTAAAGTTCAGGTGGTCCTGGGGTGCCCTAAGTTCAGGTGGTCCCCTGGGGTGCCTAAAGTTCAGGTGGTCCCCTGGGGTGCCTAAAGTTCAGGTGGTCCCTGGGGCGCCTAAAGTTCAGGTGGTCCCCTGGGGCGCCCTAAACTAGGTGGTCCCTGGGGCGCCTAAAGTTCAGGTGGTCCCTGGGGCGCCTAAAGTTCAGGTGGTCCCTGGGGTGCCTAAAGTTCAGGTGGTCCCCTGGGGTGCCTAAAGTTCAGGTGGTCCCCTGGGGTGCCTAAAGTTCAGGTGGTCCCCTGGGGTGCCTAAAGTTCAGGTGGTCCCCTGGGGTGCCTAAAGTTCAGGTGGTCCCCTGGGTGCCTAAAGTTCAGGTGGTCCCTGGGGTGCCTAAAGTTCAGGTGGTCCCCCTGGGTGCCTAAAGTTCAGGTGGTCCCCTGGGGTGCCTAAAGTTCAGGTGGTCCCCTGGGGTGCCTAAGTTCAGGTGGTCCCCCTGGGGTGCCTAAAGTTCAGGTGGTCCCCTGGGGTGCCTAAAGTTCAGGTGGTCCCCTGGGGTGCCTAAAGTTCAGGTGGTCCCTGGGGTGCCTAAAGTTCAGTGGTCCCCTGGGGTGCCTAAAGTTCAGGTGGTCCCCTGGGGTGCCTAAAGTTCAGGTGGTCCCCTGGGTGCCTAAAGTTCAGGTGGTCCCCTGGGGTGCCTAAAGTTCAGGTGGTCCCCTGGGGTGCCTAAAGTTCAGGTGGTCCCCTGGGGTGCCTAAAGTTCAGGTGGTCCCCTGGGGTGCCTAAAGTTCAGGTGGTCCCCTGGGGTGCCTAAAGTTCAGGTGGTCCCCTGGGGTGCCTAAAGTTCAGGTGGTCCCCTGGGGTGCCTAAAGTTCAGGTGGTCCCCTGGGGTGCCTAAAGTTCAGGTGGTCCCCTGGGGTGCCTAAAGTTCAGGTGGTCCCCTGGGGTGCCTAAAGTTCAGGTGGTCCTAAGGGTGCCTAAAGTTCAGGTGGTCCCTGGGGTGCCTAAAGTTCAGGTGGTCCCTGGGGTGCTAAAGTTCAGGTGGTCCCCTGGGGTGCCTAAAGTTCAGGTGGTCCCCTGGGGTGCCTAAAGTTCAGGTGGTCCCCTGGGTGCCTAAAGTTCAGGTGGTCCCTGGGGTGCCTAAAGTTCAGGTGGTCCCTGGGGTGCCTAAAGTTCAGGTGGTCCCCTGGGGTGCCTAAAGTTCAGGTGGTCCCTGGGTGCCTAAAGTTCAGGTGGTCCCTGGGGTGCCTAAAGTTCAGGTGGTCCCCTGGGGTGCCTAAAGTTCAGGTGGTCCCCTGGGGTGCCTAAAGTTCAGGTGGTCCTGGGGTGCCTAAAGTTCAGGTGGTCCCTGGGGTGCCTAAAGTTCAGGTGGTCCTGGGGTGCCT